CCCCCTTTTTCTCCTTTGCCGCCACCACCACCACCGCCACCCACCTTTACCTCCCTTTCCGTCCACCTCGAGAAGAGCTGTCCTTCTCCCGCTTACGACAGATACGATAATCTCTTCCCTGTTTCACTGTTTATATTCCTTAGTCGCTCCCACTCGTCGATTTATCTCACTCGTTTATTCCCTTTCGCCACTTTTTCGCTCGCTCGCACCTTTACCCCGTACTGCTACCACGGTCACGATCGGGCAGTCGTGTCCCTCTACCACCGCCATCATCGCCATCCTCGCCACCACCACTAGCTACTGGTTGCGTTTCCTGTACATGCGGTTTTGTCCAAATCATTTGCGCAAAGTCCCGCCTTAAGAACTTTTCGGTATTGCTCTGAGAGCGCTCCAGGGGTACCATACTGCTCGAGTAAGGTTGAGATTTTTCGAAGCGAAGTTTACATTTTGAACGATATAATAACAATCTGTAAGTCATTAAAAAATGTGATTTGTATTTTTTTTTTTTTTTTAATGTAATCTGAAGAGAATTTCAAATAATTTTGGATAATTTGATTGACATTAAAACAAAATTTAGGAATAGAATATCAAATAAAAGATATTATTGAATTTGTAGGAAGAAGAAAATGAAGATATATATATATATATATATTATTTTTTTCAATTATTTTTTAATTATTTCATTAATTGAAAAAAACAATGAAATTACCGTGTATTTTTTTTTTTAAGATGTATTCATTGTTTTATTACACATTTTTTTTGTATCTGTTTTCTGTTTAAAATATTGTTTTACAAGATTATTGGCATCAGAGGCAGCTTTGTGTTAACTATTAATGATTACATTATAATAAACTATTAATCGAACGAATTTTTTTCCTTTCTTATAGAATATTAATATTTACTTGAAATTATTTTTATTCTAATAATATTGAATATTCTTATTATTATCTATCTTTCGATTTTGTTTGTATAAAGATTTGTTAACATTTATTTTTTCTTTTTTAATGAAAATTAATTTAATTTACTACATATAAACTGAAGTAATACATTTTACTTTCTTATTTTATTTCATAAGCATAATTCGCATAAAAATTATACTGCTCGAAATAATTGGAATATTAATTTTAACAACAAATAAGTTTATGTATTTATTTTATTCTATAATTCAAAAATATGATTCCTTAATTATTTTGAGCAGCACACTCATTTATTAATTGGTTCATTCGATGGTTCATTTCTTTTGAACTTAAAATTATATTCAAAATGAAATACTAGAACGAGAAATTTTTAAATCAAAAATAATTAAAAATAAATATGTTTTATCCATTTTTTAAATTACAGACGGTTCAAGTTTTTATTTTTTATTTGTCATATTAAAACCAAAACTATTTGTAATTTATTCAAAAGAATAATATATAATTAAATATAGAATAATAATACAATAATACACATTATCTCAAATTAATTTCCAAATTTTATCAGTATATTTTATAAATTTAAATAAGAAAAAAATATTATAAATATAAATCATTTGAAATTTTATTAAAAAATTATGATAGAAGTACAAAGAGAATAATAATGGATTTGTTATTTGGTTAATATTTATATTTAATTTGTTTCTACTTTTGATAATAATTTTGTGTAAGTTTGTATTTTTTATAATATTTTAATACTTTCAAATATTTCATTTTTTAATTTTCTATTTTAAAATATTCATTGTTCTTCACAATATAAAATTAAAAACGGTCAAAAATCGAATATATTTCAATTTTCATTTCATTGAATACATGATTAATTTATCAATTTATTATATAAACTTATATTTTCAATAATTAATTATTTTATTTTAATACATTCTTCTTGAATTTCAAATAATTTAATAAATGCATAAACAAAATAAATAAATTTAAATATTTTCTCTTCTTTTCTCTGATTTATTCTCTTTGTATTTTGTATTTTTATCATAATTTCTTAATAAAGCTTTAAATGATGTTCATATATGTTTATATGCATATTTGTTAAAATTATAGTTATTTCGACCGTCAATAAAATAAAAAATCGATAAACAAGAAAATCGTATTAATAATCATTATTATAATTTCATTATCTAATTAATTAAGAAAATTTAAGAAAGCACCCTGTACATTTCTATATCTCAAATAACTAGATTTTTTGATAAATTATAGGAGATGAACTCATATGTATATGCATAATTTATTGATAAATTTATGAATATCAAAACTTAATATAAAACTATTTTCATATAATTGCATCAGCTATTTATAAAAATATTGTATGAAAAATTGATATCCTACTGTCATATGAAGTAAATAGTTGTTTATAAATGTTCTAATAGCTGCAACTATAGTAGTTAATTTCTTCTATTTTGTTTGCATTCTAAGTTTAGTTATTTCTCCAGTCTTTTTTATCATATTTGCAATAATCAAAGATTTAAATATAAAATGAATTTATCTTAACTTTTGATTGATTTTATAAAATATATACTAATATTTTATTAAAATATTTGATAAGATTAAATTAAGGATGAATTAGATATACCATAATTTCATGATTTAATTTCCAAAGAGTTTAAATATCAAAGTATTGGATATTATTGGATATAACAACTTTTCTATAGAAGTTGTATTTTGAGCTTCATCTATAATATAAATATTATTTCTTATTAAATAAATACCATATTTTATTAAAAAATAAAAATTTCTTGAAATGATACATTAATATATATTTTAAAATTAGCTAAAGATTTAATAATTATTGCAAATTGTTTAACATAAATTGTATAAAAGAGATTACTTTTTTAATAACTTTCGTTTAAATAATGCTAACTAAAATAAAATTATTTTTAAATAATATTGATAAAATTTCTTTAACTTACGAATGCAAAACTGAATCAAGTATTAATAAATTAAATACAAATAAATATATTTTTTAATGTAAAAATTCTTATCAATTTTTAAAAATTAATTATCTATAATTTTGAAAGTATCGAAATAAAAAATAGTTATTAAATTACAATAAAGTTCATGGCAATGAAATTATATTAATATTTGACTATGTATATTTCAAATAAAATTTATCGGCGTTACAATTTGCTGTAATACGTAAATCATAATAAATGAAATCTTATAAATTACGTATAGATGGACTATAAATTAACGTTTTCGATAATTCATGCATATATAGAATGAGGCACTTAATACGTACGTAACAAATCATATTAAATTTCATTTGAAAAATAATCCCATAATTATAATTCTAAAAAAATTATTATTATCAGATTTTTTGAAGCGCAAAATATAAAATTTTTCACATTTCTTAATTAAAAATAAGATGATTCTTTTCTTTCTAATTTTTTAATTTACTATTTTTTTCAAATTTTTTTAATTTCAAATATTTATTATGTATAGATATAGAATTTATAAATAAATTCTTTAAATTTTATTATAATTTTTTTACTTTTTTTATCAATACAAATAATTTTATATATATATATATATATATATATAAAAAGATATTTGTTGTCAAATATATACTGTGTAAAACAGAATAATTAAGTTAAAATGTTTAATTGATTTCAAAATTTAACGTATATATTAAAAATACAAATATTTCTAATATATTGCATTTTATTATATTTTATTTAATATACTTTTATTGTGTTTATATGCACATGATTTATTGGATTTTACAAAATACCTTCCTCTATATAATTTGATATATAATATTCTCATTTGAATTTATCATAATAGTATTTTAATTTAAAATATTATGCTATAAAAAACTGAATAAATGCTATGAGAAAGAGAATTGATTAAATAAAACGTGTTAAGTGTCTCACGCTGTACATGTACAAAACATTTTGTTCGATTTCGTTACTAAAAATATATTTATATTATGAATTCTAAATATTAACTCCTATTTTTTAATATAAAGGAAAAAGATGTTTTATAATCGTAAATAATATATAACATAGATACTAAAGTATTCTATTTATAATATATTTGATTTTATGAAAATTTTAGATTAATGATATTCTTTCGATAAGTATTTTGTGCAAAATATTGCAGAAAATAAAGAAAATATGATTAATGATTATATGTTTTATGAACAAGTTAATGAATTAAGTCTCGATAATGATATTTAAACGTTCATATAAAATTATTTTCAAAATACAATTTTCAATCATTATATTGAAATAAATAATAAAATACTCCATTTGATAAAACGAAGCAATTGTTTCATTTTCTTTTATTGTATTAATATCGACAAAAAAGTGCATTAATAATCTCTAATTTAATCAGCGAAATTTTATATAATATTTTAACTATCCATAGTATTTAATTGAATACGATTTTTATTTCAGTACACGATTTTAACTTGAACATAAGGATAAATATTTCATATTAAAATTACGTGAAACATATTATGTTGTACACATAACTTTTATTTATTTATTTATTTATTATTGATCAATTATCATGAATAACTCAACATTATAAATTTTAAAAAAAAAACTTCAAAAAAAATTAATAACTTCAATTTATTTTTAAATATTTGCATTGAATATATGTAATTATTAAATAAATAAAGATACTTGCGTCTTTTCATTTTTTTGTATTTCACGTTTCTTCACTGACACATATTTGTGCAATTGTGTAAAAGAATTGGAAGTTACAATTATATAGAAATTAAGAATTTATAAATAGCTCTTTTTTTCTTTCTCTTTCTTTTGTTTGTAAATATAATCATTAAATCAATCTCTAGCCATTGAATATATGTATATATGTATACATATTCTTCCAAGCTGTATATACAAACATTGTATATTATTATAGATGTTGAAGTTAAAATCAATTTGCACAAATTAATTAAAATATTACTTCGCATGATAGTTTTGTTTAATGATAAATTCTTTAAAAGTAAAATAAATCATTTACATCATTTCATTTGTGTCTGCATATATAGCGATTTTCAATCATCTACCATACAGAAATCGAACAAAGAAGCAGAATGAAATGCAACCGAAACATGTTGTTTGTTAGTAGATATTGATGAAAAATAAAAAATGACAAAGCTAATGTAATAATATTATTATTATTTATGATTCAGCTAATTCTCTGCTATCCTCGTCCCATTCGGCAAAGCTTCTTGTTTTATTTTGCGTATCATTTTTTTCCACATCTTGTTCTCCCTCAAGGTGTTCTTCTTCAATTATCATAACCGATTCCTGAGGTTCTCCTACACTGTTACTCTGTTCGCTACATTGCTCATCGTATTCCACTATTTCTGTCTGTTCTTCTACATATTGTATAACTTCTTCTACCTGATCAGAACTGCATTCTTCTAATATTTCAGATTGCTCAACTTGCATATCTTCATCCATCACTTTTTCTTCAACTTCTTCAACTACTTCTTCTACTATCTCCTCAGTCTCTTCAGTGAGTTCTTCTGAATGATAATTCTCATACGTTTGTCGTTCTACTTCTTCATTTCCATGAATATAAACAATCATTCCATCTTCTGTGCCTTGCATTACAATCTGCTCATTGTCGCTAATGTTTAATTGTTGTGGCTGTTGTTGTTGTTCAGTCTCTTGTTGCTGATATTGTTCATTATCAATAAGCATGATCATATGCTGCCCATCAATATCATGTGTATTGTAAGTCATTTCGTGCGAAATATTGTTTAACTGCATTTCTGGTACCATATATTCCGATACATTTGAAGTCACTTCCTGTGATTCCGACGGAACACCATCTCCAACGCCTAAGGAAGCTGCTATACCACTAGCTACGTGACTTAAAGCTTCTGCTTCTGAAGAAGGCTCTAAAGAAATTGGTGGCATGGATACTGTGGATGTATCAGAATCCCGCAAATCCTTATGCACGCAATCGAGATGAACTTGTAAGTTGGTAGCTCGTACGAAAACTTTACCACAATGAGTACAACGATGACCTTTTTCTTTACCATCTGACAAATTTCCATGACCTGTGTTAATTTCATGAGTTGTTAATTCCGTCACGTCTTTGAAGGTCTGTGAACACTGCATGCATTGAATTTCCTCAACTGTTGACGAATGTTGACGCGACGTTGGTCGATGATTATGATTGATTTGATGTCTTACCAATAATGTTTCCGAAAGTGCCACATAAGAACATGCTTGACATTTCGGGAAACACATACTCTTTGGAGGAGGCACGTTGTGTTTCGTGTAAAGATGATACATTAAAATATTTCGTTTAGTTGCTTTATAGCCACAGTGTTCACAAACTCGCGGATCGAATTTTTCTTCATGTACATCTTGCATGTGCCTTCTATACATGTAATAATTTGTATATTCTTCTTCTAAATCACATTTGTTACATTTCCAAGGACCAGTTTCGCCACCATCCACACTTCCATTACTCTTTGACTCAGCTTCATCACTATTATTACTTGACATCAAATGATCAGATTTTAAAACTACATAAGAAACTTTTGTTTTATTTGCTGAATTACTGTCCGAAGATTTGGCTTCTTTTTGCATGATTTTCAAACGTATGTTCTTATTATTTTTTACTAAATGAGGATATTTTTTCAATACTTCTCGAATAATTTTTGCATGATTATTTATCGCATCTTCTGAATTTGTTCTGTAAGATGATTTTCCTTTCTCCATATTCTCTTTTTCTTCGAGATCAAATCGTACTCTCTTAGATGGCGAAGGTTGTGCATCCTGGCCTCTTTGGAAAGATCTAGTTACGGACCAATCATCATCCGAATTCATTTCCTTTAAACCTTTCTCATTTGAATGACCTTCATCTTCCTCGTCTTCAGTTGTATCATTTTTACTTTCTCTATCTGGAGAACATTTGCCACTAGGCGAATTATCTCTTTTATATTTGTCCGGCGCTTGGACAATAGGTTTTGTATTATACGTAATATCATCAAATGATGAAAAAACTCCAAGTGCAAATTCTTCAGCTTCAGGAAGATCAAATCGAGAAGGTCCAGGAGTTACTTCTGTAGGTCTATTTGTTGATGGCATTCCATGGAATGTTCGCATTTCATAATTAAGTGATGACATATTTTGTGATGTATCTAATTTTCTTTTCCAAATAGGAAGTCTAAAACAAAAAAAAAATTTTTTTATACAATTAAAGATAAGTAAATTAAAAATTTATATAAAATTTTTAGAATGATTATATTTAAATAAGTTATTTATATATAACATTATCTTCAAGAAAAATTGTTGTTATATAAAATTTTTTAATATATAATTTTTATAATCTATGAAGTATAGTTTTATACTTACTTTCTACCTGGTAATGGTTGATTTGAAAGTCCTGATGGAGTGGAAGTAATTGTTGGTTTTGTGCTAGGTGTTGAAGGCTTTGAAACCGCTATAACTGATCGTGTATTACACTTCATTGATTGTTCATTTTGTAAAGGAGCAGTGTTAAATTGTGCATCAAGTAATTTAGTTAAAACTGTCATGTTCATTTTCTGTGCTGTACGATACAAAGCATGTTGTTCTGAAGTCCAATATTCTAATTGACCAGTATACATAAAGCTATAAAAATATTATAATATATATACATATATATATTATAAATATAAAATTTATTAAAGAATTAGAAATAAATTATAAAATTTACCTTATAATTGATTTTACACATTCATATGGCATATCTGGTGGCATAATGATTATTCCATCAAAATTTTCATCCTTTTCTT